AATTGAAAAGAATGAAATTTGTGGCAAAAAGTCTCGTTAAATATACGAAAGGAGCACGTTTTAGAATGCGCCATCAAGAGATTTACGGTAGAATGTACACAAACACATATTTGGTGGTTGCACTTTTCCAAAATTTCATTGCGCTTTTTGGCACTTCACCCACGAAATACACCTTTGTGCACATACTCGTTTATCGCACCGTTCACATAACACCGAGAAATAATGCGGCGCACCGTCCTTATCGAGCAATTGAAGAGGTTGGCCACATCCTTTTCCCGCATCCCATTTTCCCGGGCCCTGACGATTCGAAGCTTCTTCGGAGTGTCAAGGCTTTTCTTGCCAGCCATCTAAATAATAAAATAAAATACATTTAATGTTCATAGAACGCGAAAATAAAAAGAATAACCAAGGAAAACATCAATGGGACATTACTTTTGTGGAGCTAATTTTAGGGGTAAGTGCACTCTTCCACACCGATCTTTTGATTGAAAGGATTTCGATAAAAAAAAATCCAGATATGCTGAAAGTCCCAACACCACCATACGGGTGGTGTTTGGGTGTCTCAAATGAGCGATGATGGCAAATACATTGTCAGGTTAGTTAATACAAAAGACAAACCTCCTCTGGCAACCGTGACAAGAAATCCTTTTGGAACAATGGTTCGATGATATCCCTGAATTTGAAAATTTCACTGTTTAAGGTCATTCTCTTTACTCTTCGAGTTGAGTCTTGCTGCCCTCCGGTTTGTCCGACATCTCCCCTAAATGAAAAATTACAGCAGAGATAACACCATTCATAATAAAAACCTGCTATCTCACACATAATAAATTCTCATAGGTGAGTGCCTTAAAAGGCCATACAATACACAAATATCGAGAAGTATCCTTCAGGTTTATGAGGTGCCTACTCATTAAAAGTCGCCATGTATAAAACAGCAATCAAAAGCTGACATTCTTGACTTCCCAATGAAACAATTCTCAGATTGAGAGCTGTTCTAGAAACAGAGATCTGAACGTTCAAACATTAGCATGTCGTTTGTATCGATAAAATCGATAAGCTAGTCTACCCGTAGGGCACCGTAGGGTAGGGATGGGGTACTATTAGAGTATTTACGGTAGATGGGCCTACTAAAAGAATTGAACAGAATGAATTTTATCGCAAAAAGTCTCCTTAAATACACGTAAGGGGCGCGTTTTAGAACTCGCCATCAAAAGGCCTACCGTAGAATGCACATAAAACCATATTTTGTGGTTCCAGTTTTCAGAAAGCTCCATTCCATTGCGCTTTTTAGCGCTTCACCCACAAAATAACCTTTAGTGCACCATCTCGTAGGTAAGGTTAGGTTTATCAGCAGGATTGAAAAGACGCTGGGGTGTTGAAGCTGCGGGCGACGAAGATTTACGGGTGTTTAACCTGAACGGGACGAAGAATTGTTCAATCGTCATTTTTTTGGACGTAAAGCTTGTTTTGCGTTCCAGCACAAAGTTTTGAGCGCTAAAGTTATTTGAATTGACGATAATTGTAAATGAAGCAAAAAAAGCACCTTAAAATAGCTTCAAATCCCTTCCTGCCATCGAAGCACTTCTGCGATGGAGACTGCCGGTCGGACGATGGTTGATGACGGGGAAACGAGCGAGGAAAACGTCGTGGGTGCTGAGCATCAACACCGGGCACACGATTGGATACATTCGCTTAAGGTAAAAGAAGATTTTATTGGGGAAATGCTTAAGTCACTCAAAACCAGACAACGTCACTTCTTTAAAAGATAAATTGAGGCTTAGTTTAAACCTTTGGTACTTTAGCACTTTCTAGCCTCACACAAAATTCAAAATAGAAGATTTGGGCTCGTACGTTGACACGTTAGCTCACCAAGGTTACATGATTTCAATTGAATCCAGGAAGTTCAAGAGTGGTTACCATCATGTGAGGATACACAGGGACTCGCAGCCCTATATTGGGTTTTACTCGAGAGGCATAGGCTTTTCAAGTCTTCCCCTTTGGATAGTCAACAGCACCCTGGCTATTCGCCTAACTCATATTACGATATCTTTGCCAACATGCGGCAAATGTAGCTTTGTACCTAGATGACGAATTAATTTTTGCATCACGTAAGGAGCTAGAAATCTGAACATTACAGAAAAATTGTGTTCTAGCACAAATAGAGTTTTAGCACTTAATGGTAGTTTTTTTGGACCTGAAATTTTTGCAAACAAATCCCCAGACAAACAGTATACAAATTTTTGATAAATTTGTATACTGCTATCCAGGATGCCCAAATTTTCGAAAATGCGAGTCTCAAAGCAGTCTGCTTTTCTATAAAATGATCCCGCTACCGTAAGCTGATATTCAAATTCGCATATTATTTGAAAATTTGTAGACAAACTAGCGTCCTGCTATTCAGGATGGCGAAATTTCAAAAAACCAAAGCTCAAAAACAATTGAGCGCTTGTAAAATCGCTTGTTGTTGGGTTGACGATGTGGAATTGCAAAGATCACCCTTGCACAGACATTGCTCGCCGCGAAGTCTGAAAACGATTTGGGCAATTGGATGATAGCAATTGGGCAACGGAATACTTTGTGCTTAGATTTGGATCATCAATACTACTTAGTAATAAGAATACTTACCGTAAATACTGTAATAGTACCCCACACCTCTCGTACAGTCGCGTAGTCGCAAAATTTTTTAGTATTTCATTTTTTTTAAAGCGCCCGTATTTTAAAGCGTATTTTAAAGCGTGTTTCAAAAAATGCGTCTTTGAAAATGAAAAGTATGAAAAAATAGCCCTGAATTTCAGCTATTTTTTGATAACATGATAACGCATTGTAGCATAAACCAGTGTCGAGAAAAACGCGTTCAAAGCTAGACTACGCAACACTTCGCACCGTCATTATGGGGGTGGGGTACTATTACAGTATTGACGGTAAACTAGTTTAGCTACATTTTATACCATGCACAGATCTTTTAGAGAAAAAAAGAAAAAAAACTCGGCACTAGCCAGATCCGAAACATTCTAGTCGCAAAAATCTATTCGCGCTCTTTTAAGCGTTTTTTGCATTGGCGCTCATTTAAGCGTTTTTTTGCATTGGCGCTCATTTAAATGGCGCTCTTTTAGCGGCGATCTTTTGATTTAGTCCCCTGTTGCTAATACATTAAAAGCGTGCCCAAGCATGAATCGGTGTTGAAAACCATTTCGAGATTAGGGCCTCAAAGTGGAGGTTCTCCCTTATAAATAAAGTGTATCATAATTTACGACACACCAACTAAAACTACCCACTAAAATGTGCTGCTCAAAAAATACACCAATTACTTTCAAACTACCCACTAAATTGTGCAAATTTAAAATACAGTGTGCTGCTTAAAAAATGCCGTCCTTCCCCAAAAATCTTTGTTCAACCGGATGGTAGCAAGGGATTTTAAGCTATTTTAAGGTGTTTTTGGTGCTTTATTTACAATTATAGTCAAATTAAATAAATTTAGCGCTGAAAACTTTGTGTTAGAACGCAAAACAAGCTTTACGTCTAAAAATGACGAATGAACAATTCTTCGCCCCCGTTCACAGTATTTACAATATTTAGAGTAGCTAGTAGTAGTCTTGTCTTCGGGTTTTTTTTGTTTTATTATTTACGGTGTTATCTTTGCTGTAATTTTTCATTTAGGGTCGATGTCGAACAAGCCGGAGAGCAGCAAGACTCAACTCGAAACTTTGAAAGCGGATCTACTGGAGAAACTGTCGGCAAAGCTGAAGCCCGATTCAAAGCCATCACCCGTGCTCGCAACGCCGGTCAACATCCAAGTGGAAAACCAAAAGCTGTTGGAGCTGCTCGAGGAAGGGAGCGACGAGAGCCGAGAACAAGCCAAGAAACTTCTCGTCGATCGGAACGCGCTCTTAGTTGCTGGTGATGCAAATACGGCAGAAAAGATAAAAGCCTTGACAGAAGCTGTTGAGTCTCTGCCTCAACAGAGCTTTGCCGTTCAAAGCCTGGTCGGAGCACTCTCCGAGCCACTAGTTCGGTTGATGAGGTAAAGAGAATGACCTTAAACAGTGAGATTTTCAAATTCAGGCATCTCAGCGAACTGTTCCAAAAGGACTTCTTGGCACAATTGCCAGAGGAGGTTTGATAAAGCTTGTGGGAGTAATTGTTTATTTTTAGATTGCTTATCGTATCCTTGCCTATTTGACACCGTGCGATTTGATGACTTGTGCTGGCGTTTCGCGGGCGTGGCGGCGGCTTTGTGAAGATGATCGGACGTGGCGACAGAAATGTATCGAGAGCGGATATCTGGAATTTGATGCCCCAAGGTTTGTTACAGTTTTGAGCCGATAATATAACACTTAAAAGTACATCTCTGATAGATTTTTATTAAACCAGATTTGAAGAATTGTAAGATCTAGGACAATAAAGTTATTAGTTCCAAAGCAGCAATGATATAAAGCGAGAGAAAACATATGGTAATGTTTGTTTGTAACACACTTACAGTTTTGAACAGATTATATAACACTTAAAAATACAAATCTGATAGATTTATATTAAACTAGATTTTAAGACTTGTAAAATATAGGACAATAATGTTATTAATTCCAAAGCCAACAAAGATGTAAAGCGAAAGAAAACATGATAATGTTTGTTTAAATGAACTGGTTCATATTTAGGAAATTGATTGTTAAAAGACTCGTCTCAAACCTGTTTTTTTAGTTTTCGTTTTCTCGGAGGTCGGGCGACGAATCGAGCAAATAAGCAAACGGGAATCACAATCTGTTCACATATGGACGTTCAAGAAGCACAGCAAAATCGACAAGCACGCGAGATAGCATATGGGGAGTTAGTGACCCAACTTGTTGCGAAATGAATTTTTTTTCTAGATGTTATGAGCGTTCGCCATGGAAGTCGCTGTACTTGCGAAAGAAGCGAATCATTTCGAATTGGCGATCCCGGGCGATTCAATCTAGCACTGTTCTGGAGGTTTGAATAAATGGTTTGACCGAAAAGCTGGTTTTTAGGATGACTTTAAATACGCAATTTCTCTACAAGCTCACCCTGGTCTTATCATTACTGGTTCTCATGATGATAAGTTGCGGGTCTGGAATGTTGAAGATGCTCAAGTTTATTTTGTTTAATTGTTATTGTACGTCCGAATTTAGCCGGCTTTTACTCTAACTGGTCAGAATGGTCAGCCTTCGTCGTATCAAGTGAGCGAAGATGGCAAATACATTGTCTGGTTAGTTAATAGATTATAGCTAGTGCAGTTCATCAGAGTTGCCAATGAAGCAAAAAAGATTCAAACAAAAATTCTTATGACAACAAATTCTATTGTAATATTTCAGTGGCGGGCAGGATGAGACGGTGCGCATTTGGTGTGGTCAAACCGGTGCACAGCTTCATGTTTTGCAGGGACATACGGATTGGATTACATGCATGAGTCTACATGGCACAACGTGAGTAATCTGAATTTTCTGCTTTAGTAAAGGTCATAATGTTTTAGTCTTGTTTCTGGGTCGCTTGATGAAACGCTCCGTGTCTGGGACATTGTCGACGGGAAATGCCTTCACATTTTGGCTGTCGATGCTAGGGTATGTGTATCAAAGTTTTAGCTTAAACTAAATTTCAGAATTGTGTGCAATTTGATGGAGAGCGGGTTGTATCTAGTGGCGGTGATTATGCCGTAAATGTTTGTACAGTTACTAGTGCAATCTATAATATTCTATTAGGTTTGGAATGTACACACGGGGGAGTGCTTGCACATGTTGACGGGTCACACGGATATAACCCTTTCACTTTTGGTAAGCTGAATTTTCAAATTTTGACTTTAATCTGGATTCTGCTTTAGTTTGAGTCACAGCGTGATCTTGTCGTGTCGGGTAGTCGTGACGGGACGATTCGCGTCTGGGATGTGCAAAGAGGAAGTGGCTTTTACTTGTTGAATATTCTGTTACAATGTCATCTATATTTGTTTCTTTCAGCATGCATCACACATCTTGACTTTCTTCAAGGGTTAAGGTTCGAAGGTTATCGGAACTTTGGGATGCAGCTTCGCGGAAACATTTTGGTCTCCTGTTACGACTCGGACATTTGGGTATGTTTAATCAAGCCTATGAAAACTACTTCCTTTTCTTTAGGTTTGGGACATTCGTGAGGGTGGCTCATGCCTTCACCACTTACATGGCCGAAATGGTCATACGTCGAACATCACTTCCTTGCAATTGCTCGACTCCGGACTTTTGGTGACAGGTTCGATTGATGGCTCGGTGAAGCTGTGGGATGTGGACAAAGGTATGCTGTTTTAAATTACCTATAGGACTATAGGACACAAAATCCGGACTTTTAGTTTTTATTTACACTGGAGTTTATAACTAAATAACATGATTCATTGACGATTCGATCTTAGAAATATGTTGATGCTTAAGTATTCTGTTGTTAATTTTTTATCAACCATGCAAGAATTTTTCATTTTTAGGTAAATTTGTTCGTGACCTTATTCGTCTTCAATATCAGAATTGTATTCTGGATCTCAAAGCCACTGAAACATTGCTTGTCTGTGCGGTTGGATTGGTTGAGCGTTACGGACCTTGAGCCACAAAGCTCGTCTGGATCGATTTTGACGCATCATATCCATAGGTATATTTGTATTTTTGCTCTTTCCCTATTGTGATTTTCCGAAGAATTCTGTCGGTTTTTCCATTTTTTGGGAACTTTCATTGCTTGTGATTTCGTTTCAATGATTGCCCACATTTTATATACTTGTATGCCATAGTCTTGATTTTGTGAACCTTTTTTCCCTCTTGAATGTTTCAGAATCATCAAGTGCAAACTATCTTTCAAAATTTCTATCCCTTCAAATTAGTTGGTTGGTTGTTGTCAACGTTCGATTACTTTTAGTCCGCATAAAGTCCTGTGATTATTTTTAGTCCGTATCAATCTTTATTTGCTCGATTTCAAGATTCAAGAACCTACATCTTACCGGTTTAAATCTAAATAAACTGCACAAGCAACTGATATTGGCAAAAAAGCAACCCAGGTCAACTGCGAAACTCCCTCAATGAATACGATTCCGCAGATGAAAATTCACTCCGACAAAAGCTCTGGCTTTCGGCCTACAGTTTTCAAATGTACGGTGTGCTTTTTGACTTTTGGTTGTTCACACGTTTCAATTAACAGAATCTTGCTTACCATTTTGTTACACGAAATTCCCACAAGGGAAGTGCACCCACTTAAGGTGAACTTTTGGATGACTTTTGGTCTTTCAACACTTAACTTTGTTTTATTTTTATATTTCACGTGGCATCATACCCAAGTTTTTTATTGAATTCTATAAATAAGAATTCTAGAATAGACTCTCTTTCTGCTTTCCTAAAAGAAATCGCCAGCACGGATTGTGCAGAAAATAGGTGTTGTGAAAGATCGTTTATTCTGTCCTTTTTGTGGAAGGGAACAACAGTTTTGTTTGTTACTTCACTTTTTATCATCAATGTTGAGCTGTAAATGTTCAATTTTGTTCATAAACCTCGATACTAAAAATTCATTGTGATACTTCCTGAAATCGAAAACTAAAACAATCTTAAGTCTTGGATGGTCAAATAAAAAGAAAAACAAAGGATGGAAATGAACTCAAGCAAAAATCTTCTGAGGGAATCCCATTTCTGACCCTGACCTTGCATTTGACAGAAATCTGGGCCTAGTAAGACGAGAAGGGCCTCTCATGAAAACTGAACGCTGTTCGAAGGAATAGAAAATAAAATGGGGCCAGATTGGTCGGGATCGCCAGTTGCCCAAAGTTCGTATTGATACGCGGCGATTATTAGAACATTCTCATCGTTTTGAAATTGCTTCGGGATGCGAATGATGGCCCTGGAAATTGTCGAAAATGATCAATTGCAGAATCAAGTCTGATTTGGGAGTCACGAGTGATTGTTGAATTCTGTGATCTGCCGACGATCAACGATTTGAAAGATGTACGTGAAATTTGATGATCGATCTTTGTCTAGCTTCTAAGAATTACGATCTGTTGGACTTAATCTGTGATTTTCTCTTTCTCTTTCGCTTTCCCTTCCCCTTTCCCTTCTCCCCTTTTTTTCTTCAGACAATAATGCCCCTTTGTGATCACACGAGAATCGGTGATAAGCAAGAGAATTTGCGATTGGACTCATAAATTTTCACTTCCAATCACTGATAAATTCTATCGACTTGTTTACGCATCTCGAAAAAACAATTTCAACCCTCAACTTTTGCCCATTTTGTTCATTTCCTCTTTGTCTTCTTGACTCTTCCCCGATTTTCAAGGGCAATATTTCATTTCGAAGCAGTTTTGAGTTGAGAAATGAGCTTTTCTGTTTTTTTTCCTATCCAAATCAAGATCAACCCCGAGAAATGTTTTTGCTCAAAGATTTTCCCAAATTTTTTAAAACATTTTACGAATTATGGATGTCATTGATTAAGAAAATGTTAAGAAATAGAAATTTTTTTCTATAAAAATTCGAGTTCTGGTAGGGAAGAGTTTGAACGATTTCCTGCGCTATGGATTCAAAAAGGTATCCTAAAAACTTTTGCAGACTTGTTTTGGAACGCACTTGAGCTGAAAAAGTGATTATTTTGGTTTTGCGCCTTTTTTTTTGGAACCGCGGGGATGCCTGTTGTAGATCCAACAACAGATAACCACCCCCACCCCTCGCCTGCCTCCATTTGCTTCAAAAATGATAAACCATCCCCCTTTCCCCCATCTAGTTCATCAAATTATGCCCCTTTTTGCTTTTTGCCCGCCAATTCCACTCCTTGTCTTTTCCTCGCCAATTTCTGCCTGAAAATTGAGAAATTTGTCACCCACCGTTAGCCATTCGTCTAGTTGGATGTCACAGTAGCTTTAAATTTAACTATTTACTTTGAAAGACGATTTTTGAAATTTTAGCTTATCAGGGTTGAAAGAGGGCAAGAGATTTTCTTGAAAATTTTTGATTCTATCGAGAATTTACATACTTTTTAGTGGATTCTGGAGCGCATTGGATAACTAGCGCTTAAAAAGAGCTTTAAAAAGAACTTTTAAAAGAAAACTTATTTTGTTGATTGATCGAGAGCGCCGGCGACAGTTGTTTTGATTGAACGATCTCGAGAAGGGCCGATCCGAGATTCGATCGCTTCTTGGGTGTAAAAAAGAGTGTTGTCTTTTCGAAAAGTTAATCTAACTATTCCTAGTGACATTTGAATAGGGTTTTCTGTTTTTTTCGGCTAAATTCGATTGCTACTCGATGGCCGCTTTTCGCTTTTCAAACAATTCTCGATTTGACAATATGTATAGAATCGTTACCGTTTCCAAGTCTCTACCAATTCATACCAAAAAATTCAGTCAAAGTCAATCGACCACTTCCCTTCTTCCCTTCTTCCTTTCCCTTCACGATTTGTGATTTCCCTGGGTGATTGATGTCTCCTTTGGGAAAATCGGGCGCGACTCCTAGCCTCTAAATTTTGACTCTATTGATATTTTTAGCCATTTACCCGCAAACCCTGACACTTCTTTGAATTTATTACCGATTTAGAGAGATTTATTGCTTTTCGAGCCTTTTCCTTTACTGCAAAACTGTTGAAATCTTGATCCAACTCGATCCAACTCGACCCAACTCCAATCTTCATCTAATCTAACTCATTCGCTGTTGAAGTCTTGTTGCTGTTGCTCGTTTTTATATCCTAGTCTCAGTTCTTTCGTCAAGATCATTAAGACCACAGTCTTTAGAAAATAACTAGCCTAACTATTGGAGAAATGTCGGATATTAAAGCAACCAAGAACAATCAAGAACCTAGACTGAGAACTTCTCCCTTAGTCAGTATATTCCTCAGATCTAACATCAGATTACCATTCATTTTGATCAGCCTAGAGCACTTTGAAGCTGAAAAAGATACCAAAAAATGGGTACAGAATTAGTAAAGACTTTAGTAGACTCAACATCAAAGATTTTTGATTCAAAGATTCAAAGGAAACAAAGGAATCAAAGAAATCAAAGATTCAAAAATTGACGCAAGAAGAATTCTCCTTCTACTAGGTAAAATAGGAGAAAGTTCCTTGAAAAAGATGAAAACTATTTTGTTTTGATTTAGGCTCGCTTTATTGAACAAAAGATTTCTTTTTGAAATTGACTATTGGCCAACCGAATAGTTTATGGCTTAATCTAGTTGTCTGTACCTGCACCCGTTCTCGGTTTTAGTTTAAAAAGCCTAGAAAATTCCCAAATATAGACTTAAACAGGCTATTGGAGAGTTGAGAACGATTTAGGGAAGCAGTTTAGATTGAAAACTGAAAGCGGTTTAGATTAGCGAGCCACTCTAGCTTCTTTCAAATTCTTCTTTACACAAAAACTACTGGAATCTGACCGCCGATTTCCATTTGATCAGCTTAATTTTAGTCACATTTGACAAAGGAATAACAAAATTTGATGAATTGGGCTCAAAATTGAGTTAATCGAATGCAAACTGGCAAGGAAACTACAGTTTATGAGAAAATTTGCAATTTATATTCGAGAATTGACTCTGCCACTCGATTGTTGAAGCCTTTTTCTCGATTCTGTCAATTTTTTTCGCAATTTTTCATCGCCGCCTCGTTTTCTTTACTTGAAAATCCCTGGGGATTTGCTGAAAAGTCCGTTTGTCGGTCAAAATATCCATTTCTCTCAGCTAAAAACCCGAAAAATCTATTTATGCTTTTGCCGCTATTTTTTCCTCCATTTTCAACTTTCAGATATGTAAAACAGCTGAAAAATGTTGAAGAAATGGGCAAAGAAATCATTTTTCTGATTATTCTTGTTTCCCTACTGGCAATTAACTATCGAAAAGATCTCTGGAAAGTCGCTTTGTGGCTGGAGGATGAGTATTTCCAGTTGGCAGGTCGGTTTTCAGATTTTAGATTCCCTAGTGCACCCCAAATTGCTCGAAGTCTCGAAAATCCCTTATTAGAATCTATCGATGTGGGGTTGGAAAATGTATTTGACGATGAAATC